ATCGTGGTCGGGAATAGAACGCACGACCTTGTGGCCTGTAGCACAGTTCCTCAACCAACTACTCCATCGCGTGCCCCTATCAGCAGTATTCGATGTACTGTGACAGAGAGGCACAAAGTGTGGTTTGGAGTGGCTTGGACCTTATTCACTGTCTATAAGGGATGCTATGCATACGCACACACACACCTACACGTAAACACGCGATAAAGACGACTCGCCCAGCTACTGGTTGGTTCATCTGTACTTGTGTGCGTATACACGCTACATCGTGTGTCCCGTTGCGCAGGAACGGAAGGCCGTTACATGGCGGTAATGCTTCACAATTCTTTTTCTTAGGAATTTGAATGGAATGTGGGACGGAACCCAAGCTATACTGACTTGCTTGTTTTGATGCTCTTTCTTCCCCCTTCCAGGAACAGGCAGGGGTAGTGCTTCAAACTACATGACCATTTCCTTCGAAATTCCTTCCAGTTCATCTTTATCCTGCCATTCGGTTGCGTGAGCGCAGTAACTGACAACGGCCTAAAATAGCGAGTCGCATCGAATGAAGGGAATTCAGGTGTAAGCATTTCCGCGGTTTCTGTGCATAATATTCAGTGGATGGTCAGGGTATCTCTGACTGGCCAACCAGTCACCGGATCAGCCATTACCCTAGCAATCAGTATCAGTTCCAGTGCCAGCGCTTGTGTGACTTTTCCAAAGAAAACAGGGAAGGCTGTGAGGCTGCGTAGGGCTTTTGTTATAACTGTGAGGAACTAGAAGTCACTAAAGAAAAGAAACTTTCACAGAACGTCGCTGTGGAGTGGACAGCACTTCTCTTTCATTTGCAGGAGTTTCGGTATTCGAGTCTTGGCCAGGAAGCCGGGAATCATGGCAGAAGTTTTTCGTTGTGCCAATTTCAGGAAGGTACATGAAATCAAGTAAAGACTGGGTCCATCTGAATCCCTCACAATTGATTATTCGCTGTTTATCCTATTATTCGGCTCTGTGCAGTCTCAGTTTCACACTCCGTCGTTAAAATTACCGTGACTGAATAAGGAAGCAAAGCTCGTATACACGTGTATAACAGTGAATTGCTTAATTGTAATGCTCGATAAATACATAAAGGATAGGGTCTTTTGGTACGTAACATTATATACCTATGTTTCGAAAGAACCTACTGCCTCTATATTCAGAAATGTAAAGTAAGGCGTGTGGTGGAAATGGTATATGATTTATTGAAATGACATGCGTTAAAGCCAATGGTAGTGTTAGGCCCTTAAAATGGGATGTTTTGCAATGGGAAATCGTGGTCACTGACCCTTAATTTTGTTCGCTGTGTGTGGAGAAAGCTGAATGAAGTGGAAAATGTAAGAGGAAGCAAGGTGTAAAAGTAGAATGAAGGAAGAGCTGAAAGGGAGGGGACGAGTAGATGAAGGATTGCCTTGAAAATGGTAGTTTTGTATGTAAGTTTGTAACGGCATTACGAATGTTCCCTGCATGACGAGTTAGAGGAAAGGAAGTCATTAAAATTCTGTTAAAGAATGCAAAAGTCTGCTTACGAATGTATACGTAATGTAGATTCGGACACATTTACAGAGGACAAATGAATATATTGTGTTTGAAGGGGGGGAGGGGGACAGAAATGAGAACACGATATCTAGTATGCAACATATATTTCCATTCTTAAAATGTAACAGACAATTTTAAAGTTGACATACAGCGGCCGACAAAAAGAACAGAATCTCTAAGGGTTGCAGCATATGGTCTCCAGTCTGTTGGACTTCCGGAGGGACGTCAGTGCTTGTTAATAAGTGGTGGGTTATTCATAAGGTTTCTCGCCGGAATCCTCGCCGGAATCCTCGCCGGGATGCTCGCCGGGATGTTCGCCAGGTTTCTCGCTGGGTTCCTCGCTGGGTTTCTCGGTGGGTTTCT